ACTGCGCCCACACGGGCGCTGGGTTCCGTCCCTCCTCTGAACACTGCGCCCACACAGGCGCTGGGTCTCCACACTGTAGTAGGCCCCCAATGAAGCCTCTTCTTTCCCCAATAGCCTCAGCCTGATCCTCTGGTGCTGTAAGACAGCAACCAAAATATAAGCCCCTGGGCTATAACGTAACACAAAAAGTTCAGGGTGTACTCTGCCCCTTTAAAAGAGTCAAACTTCTACCCTGGCACTAAGTGCCTTGTAGGTAAGGGTACCTGGTGAGCTCCTGGAGCCCCATTAGCCCGAAGTACAGCATATCGGGCAGCTGCAGTGTCTGAGCAATTCCTCCGTGGAGGCTGCTTCTCCTTTGTCTGCTGGAAGGGAACTGCTTCTCTAGTCCCAGCCCTGGGGTTTATATGGGTCCAGGGTCCTGCCTCTTCCAGTCAGCTGACCAGGTGCAGGTGCAGGTGCAGGCTAATTTGCTCATTAGCCTGTTGCCATGGTAACCTGCACCTGTGGGCTTCTCTCTGGCTCTTTGGACTCTCTCCCCAGGCAGTTTCTGCTCTAAGAGGAGCAGGCACCTTAGTGCCCTGCGACAATGATGTTATATTAAGGTTGGATCCTAGACAACAGTATAAAAGCAATGAAAGGAATTACGGGTTCAGTCCTCGGACCAGTGCTTTTCAATGTCTTCATCAGTGACCTGGATGAAGGTGTGGAGTTCGCAGAAGACACGAAACTATGCAGCAAAGTAAACACACTAGTGGGCAAGGAATGGATTCAAGCAGATTTGAACAGGTTTAATAGAATGCAGTTTAACTAAGGTAAGTGCAAGGTAGTGCACCTTGGAAGAAGGAATCTCCAACACACTTACAGACTGGGAGATGACTTCTTAAGCAGCACAGCAACAGAAAGGGGTCTGAGTCATAGTTGACTCCAAGATGAACATGTGATGAAGTGATCAACAAGGTTAACTGCACTCTATCATGCATTAGGAAGTGCATTATGAACAGGTCTAGGGAGGTGATACTTCCCCTCTATGCGGCATTGGTAAGGCTGCAGCTGGAATACTGCATTCAGTTTTGGGCGTCGCACTTCAAGAGGGATGTGGAAAAACTTGAGATGGTCCAGAGGAGGGCTACTTGGATGGTTAGGAGCCTGCAGGTAAGGTCCTATGAGGGTAGACTGAGGGACCTGGATCTCTTCAGCCTCCACAAGAGAAGGCGGAGATGGGATCTAGTGGCTGTCTACAAATTCATCAGGGGAGGGAGCAGCAAGGAAGAGGAGATACTGTTTACCAGGGCTCCTCTTGGAGTTACTAGGAACAGCAGCCACAAACTGATGGACAGCAGATTTAGATTAGACAGGAAAAACTTCTTTACGGTAAAGGTTACCAGAATGTGGAAGGGGCTTCCAAGGGAGGTGACACTCTCCCTTACCTTGGGGGTCTTTAAGAGGAGACTGGGCAAGCACCTGGCTGGGGTCCCTTGCCCCCAGTGCTCTTTCCTGCCTAGGGCAGGGGGTCAGACTCAATGATCTACTAAGGTCCCTTCCAACCCTAAACATCTATGAAATCTAATTTGTTCCTAAAGTTTATATACTAATGACTACCAAGCCATTGCAGGGTGAAGACTTTAGATAAAATTTAGTTAATGTGATGTTTAAAAGGATTTGCTGTCCCACTTTTAGTATGAAACAAAATACTTTTTTAAAAAATATTTCAGAAACTCTTTTTTTATATCTTGAGGTGTAATCATTCTATTTAAAAGTGTGTATTATCTTACCAAGTTACAGAATCTAGACTAGATAGTTATCAATCTATTTTACCTTACTTAATCTCTGTCTGTCACTACTTTGGCAGACCCACTAAGATGGGAAGGAGGTAATAGGAAATTTCAACACCCAAGACAGCCTTGCATTTGTTTTAAACAAAGTTAAGGTTAAGTGTTTTATCAGCAACCAAGGTAAAAAAGATGTTGCAATTACCCCAAAACAAAGCATAATAAACCTAAGAACATAAGGTTCAATTCTGAAACATTTAAACATTAAGGAATCCAAAGGGACACCAGGCAAATATTGTTGGATTAAGATTATGGCATTTTAGTATTTATGACCCAAAGACCATATAATCTCTACAGAAGAAGACTTACAAAAGTAATTCAGACAAAATGCAGTAATTCAGACTGAAAAGTGCTTACTGAGGAAGAGGAAAAGGTTGTAACTATTTATGGGAAAAGAAGATTTTATGTATCAATGTAGAGGAAAGGGAACACTCAGTAGCTAAGATAACTTCCATAAGTGTAGATGCCATGCACGAAGATGAAAACTGGGGAAAATAAGGCAATAGTCATTTAAAGGAAAAACATAAGGAATGAAAGGAAAGGAAGGGGGGAGTTGTGCTTAGGGTGGTACTATGGGAAAGTTTTGAGGTGAAGGTAATGAGCTTGAATCTTCCACTATACAAGATAGTCAATGAAGTCAACGAAATAATTTAGATCAATGATGCACAAGAAGCAATTTGGAGCAAAGATGTCCAAGGTACAAAGCAGTTTCAGTAAAAGAATGCTATGTATTGGATAAATGAGTTTCAGGCCTGGAAACAGAAGGGCGGGGGGGGGAGAGAAGCTAAATAATCAAAGGAACTGGAGGAAGAAGGAAATGATGAGTGATCAAGGGAAAAGTAGTTCTGAATACTTGCTTCTCCTCTCATATAACCAGTTATCTCAAACACAGAGACAGTTGGACATGTAGAACTGGAAGGAGAAAGAGTTTTAGAGTGCTTACAGATTAGGTAATTAACTGCATAATCCTAGTGACAATCAATGGAAATACATAAGGAAAATGAGAAGGAAGAGGAAATGGACTGGGAAAAGAATCTTCAGTGTAGCTGAAAAGAGAAATAAGAACCATTTTAAAGCCAAGAATTAGTAATCAGGCCATTTAAAATTTGAAATTACTTTCTGAACAGACAACTACTAAAAATTGTTGTGAAAAAGAAAAAAAAAGGATAATTTAATAAAAAGCGACTACTACTTAACAGGAATTTCTTTTTATGGATAAAAATGGAAAGAAAGGTTAGTTTAGCCCTTAGCCACCATTTTCTCCTGTTTCTCAACTGGACAAAAAGGAAGGAAAATGGGGATACTTAAACATTTTTCTTAAGAGCTTGAATTTTTTTTTTTAAATATGTGAGAAAATATTGTAAAAAGAGAAGGTATAGCTTTGAAATAAAATGTTGGATTTTTCCTACTGTTATTAAATTATATTAAAGTAGGAAAGCACTTAAGCAGAAAAGTGTGAATACTGTCAATCTCAAAATGTAACGCTTATTATCTTTAAAAGCATTTTGTTACTTTTATAATACCTGAAGTGATATAATAGTGTCAGTCACTTAACCACATCTTAGAGTATAATATCTTCATCTTAAGTACTATTATTTCCAGTATTTTAATAATTTTCACACAGTCCTGGAATGTGATCTTTTGTGCTCTGATGACACTTAAATTAATAGCATAATTTTCTGGTACTTGCAACAGTTGCTTTCCATTTTGATTTTTTACATTTTTCTATATCACATACAGATAAATCCTCTAATAATC